TACCCTCGGCTTCTTTCCTGTCCACACAAATTTGTTGATACCCTTCTGCCATTCTAAAAGATTCGCATCTCTTTTAAGTATTGGTAACATTTGAAAAAGAAATAAAAATTTTGGTAAAATGTTCATTTTTACTGCCGCTATTCTACTCAGCAAGGACAAATGCAGTTTTCCCCACCTTTTCAACTCCAACTGTATACTATGCCAAAGTGGTTCATAATTATGCTTATATAATTTCCCATTTGAGATTAAAATATTAACTCCAAGATATTTAACTTTTTTAACTACCTCACATCTTAGCATCGCCCCCAGTTCTTCCTTCTGTTTGATAGTCATATTTATAGCTATTATTTTGGTTTTTCCTAGATTTATTTTAAATCCCGAGACTTGACCATATTGATTGATCGTATTCAATAATACCCTACTAGATTCCTGCGGTTGTTAAAACATGAAAATGTTAAAGCATACAAAAATAGGGGAGTTTTTGAGTTAGTGTCGTGGATGCCTTCATAAAATGCTTAGCATGAGCTTCTCACTCAGAACTGTAGTGATATTGCCACTTGGAAAACAACTTCCTTGTGAAACATCTATTCATAATAGAATGTTGCTATTTTAAATGCTCTTCTATAAGTTGAAAATTTTAGAAACCAAAATATACCTATACACACAAACTACCATGAAGAATGTGCCACCCTTGGAAAAGCCAAGTAGTAACCAAATTATATTTATTGAAATATGAAAAAGACAAATTGAAAGAATGAGAGCTTATCCATGAATAGACTTATCTGTGAGTATATATGGTACTTTCCCTTAATGATTGATCTGTCTAAAGTACTAACAGAATTTGCTTGTGCAAATTATCCCACATTCAAGCATCCACAGAGATTTTTTTTTAAAGCAAGTTGATTCCCTTTGCACAGATGAAACTAGCCAGACCTGGGCATTTTATGGGTCCCAGGCTACATCCAGCCATTTGGCTGCCCTTGTCTTTTATTTTGACTTTTTAATTCAATGTATGTATGTGTGCATATTATGTACCTTCACATAGTTCCACCCTCCACAACAGTCCCAGTTTCTCATGTGACACCTTGGAAAAATTAATTGCTTTAGTTCTTGCTTGACAGCCTCTAGTAGCAGATTGTTATTCTTAAATCCCACTGTCTAAATTTATACAAATGCATTCCTGTTTTGAAAGAAACGGATAAGCCATACACATACACACAGATTTTCTTTTACTATTTTATTGGAGTAGGGTTTTTTGTAGCAGACAATGCCTCATACTTTTGGGGAGATGGCAGCCATTTCTTCAATCACTGTTATTGATTCACCTGCTATTGGTACTGGGGTCATCCACTTCTAAGAAAAGAAAAGATCCTTGCATTAATTCCTAAAGGTCACAATTATTTAATTTTCATTTCTACATCACAGCTCATTACAAATGCACATAACAAAACCCTTATTTTTCACTGCATATAAATTAGTCTTTCAACAGAGAACCAGGATGGTTAAGTGATGGTGAAGCTTTGGACTGGCACAGTGGAGGCTCAGGTTCTAGTCACCCATGAAAACAATTCGGCTAGTCACTGCTAGCACAACTGATCTCATAGTACAGATGTTGTGGGGAGTGGAAATAGGTAGAACAGATGTATTCCCCGTTGAAGTTTTTGCCATTTGCCAAAAACCTGAGAGATTGAGAACAAAACTCCTCTTAGGGAGAACAATTCCATGGTTTTCGGCTCTACAAGAAAACTCTCCTGTGTACTAGATAACTGAATTTCTGGAACTAGCATATCTTCAAAATAACTTTTCTGTTAAGCTAGATTCATAATGGAAAAGGTCTTTCTTAGATTTTGGTCCTTAGATTTTGTCCTGAGTCATTTTGGATGCTAAAAGTTCATAGTTAAAAGTACATTCCTATTCTTAATTTATATTGACACAAATTATATAAGCAGCATTACAATTATAAAGTAAGTATGAAAGAGTTATTCATGTATACATAACATACTTTATAGATTATTTAGCATATTTCAAACCCACCTCCACATTCTTCTCATGTTGCCACATTATATCTTTTGGTTGGGGAACTGGATCAGTAAGTTTTTCCCATATGTGGTTCCTGTACAAAGAAAGATTTGGAGCATTATCCCAGATTCTTCTTTTGAAATAACTTGTTATAGGTGTCTGAAAATGTGCAACAGCATTGACACAATATACTTTTAAAATAAGGACTAGTAATTCTGTGTGCTTAATGCTAACAATCCTACAGAGTCTGAGAGCAGAACAGATTCTGTCCCAAAAAGTACAAAAAGCATTCTTTTGAACCTTCGTTAGCCCAATTGCACCAAAGGAAAAGAAAGAATAAAAAGGCAGTATTAATTTTAAAAAGGTATCTGAGGTCAACAGCCAAGAGGAATTCTTACAGTGGGCAATTGGAAGCCAAAGTCATTCTGAGAAAAAAAGAAACAAGATAAGAAGAAAAAGTAGAGAGAAATCAATGAAATAAAAATAAATAAAAAGACAAAGAGACAGTATCTGTTACATAAACAGGCCTAAAGCTGAAGTTAGTTTTTTGTTTGAGTTATATCCACAGCAATCAGAAAAATGTACATTGCCATTTTTAAAGGTACTTATTGGTTTTGTTCTGTTCTTAGAAGTAAATTTACCTAATAATTGTGTAACAATGCTTGTATTCAACCTATTTTTATCATTATATTACATAAACAAGTTTTCTTTATTACGGAAAGATACAAACAGTAAAGTTTGCATAGGTAAAAACATCTATTCTTTACACCTTCCTCAATACCTGTCTCTTGTCTAGCTGACTGTTATGCTGAAAAAGTGCTGATTTGCACTTGAATTTTAAGGACTAGATTTATCAACTGCTAGGACAAAAAGGTGTTAAAGTGAAAAATCTTTTCTGTGTCTGCATAACAATGAAAAATAATTAAAATTTACCTTTTACAAATCAAAGTCAAAAGCACAATTATTATTATGGTTCCAAGTGCAGCAAAGACAAAAGGCAGTGTAGGGAATGTATCAGGATCAGTACCTGAAAAAATAGCAGGCTTTAGTAGTCTTATATTGATTTATTTAAAGAGAAATTCAGATCCACATGATTATATTGATCAATGAAGAAGCAGCCTTCAGAGCTCCTTTTTCTGGTGGGAAAAAATAGAAAAAGCAAAAAAGTACCATTGACCCTATATGTACCATTATGTTAATATTGATATTTAATGAAATATTTTTTTCAATATAGCTGTATATAAATATAGTACTATCGGTAACAGGGAAAAAAACAAATTGAACAAATTTTGATTTATACATTTCTATCTAGGAAATTATGTACATATTGGCCACTACTTCTTTGTAGTAGAGCAAAATTATCTAAGAAAGGCAAGTGAACCCTAAGCAGAATTACAAGTGTGTTCATTTTCATGTTTTCAGCCAACCTGTATCCAGTATTTTATAGGAAATTTCTTATTAAAATAATCCTGCAGTGGAGAAAATAAATGTAGCCTGTCAAATCTGCTGTGAACTTGGGGGATGGCAGCAGATTTTGGAGAAGGGAATGCTTTAAACTTTGTTTTGAAACTGGCTTTAGCAAGTAATATAATCTAAAATGATTTTCTCCCTCCATTTTTAGCAGTCGAATCACCTTGTCTTAAATTCAAAGCGTCATTAACATTTGAGAGAAAAATTTATAATCCAAAAGGAGAATGTTGAATTTAGAGTTTCCTCATATCTAATCACTGGCTTCAGAATGGCAGATGTGACCAGGTGATCAAAATCCAGTTTTTGCGTGTGCATTAAATGAAAATACAATGACTAACTCAAGAATTTTGGGAGTTGGAAGTCCACAAATCATAAAGGGGCCATAGTTCCTCACCCCTGGATAGCTGGTGACTATCAATGTGGATGTCATTTTGGAGGTAAGAAAATGACACAACAAATTTTTTTATTGTTCTGCTACCATCAAATAATGTTAAAAATATTTTTAAAAATGAATATTAGATTGTCTCATCCATTATTTTCAGAATAAAGTTGACAAGGAATTAGGAATATTCATGGAGTAATTTGATTTCATGGTGATAATTTGTATTGAAAAATAAAATTATACTTATTATTGTATACTATGATAGAATACAGCAAATATCTCTTTAGCATTCCAAGTGGTTATCATATCAATGAACAAAAGAACATTACATTGCAAACAAAAGATGCCAGAAACAAATGGAATATCATGTTTTTCATACTTTTTTGTCATTTTTGGTCTGTATGTATGTATATTCTTGTAATTTGTAAAGATATTCAAGCCCATGTTACATTGGTCATTATATTTATGTCTATGGACATATGTCATTTCATTTTTAAACTTAATTTAAAAATTTTCAAGTTAGGAGTTAGGGGTCCAGATTTTATTACACCATGTTTCAAATGATAACACTTCTAAATCTTTATCAGAATATGCCAATCACTAGTTTAACTATACAATGTATCTATACGTACTGTAAATTTGTCTTTGAGTCAATCTCAACTCCAGGCAACCACCTGAACACATCCCTGCAGTTTTCTTGACAAGATCTTTTGGTTTCTAGCCTGGTGCCTTAACCAGCTTACCAGTTTGGTCTCTATACATGCTGATAATAGGAGTGTAATAATAGTTCCAACATATTACAGTGGTATATTCAAGAAATAAATTTAACCATACTGATTGTACATTTATGACAATCTTTGGTTTTGTGATAGCGCTGGCTCTTACAAATATATTGGTTTACAATTATCTTGCCACAACCAATTCTCTAGATACCATTCACCTATTCTTGCTCCAACATTTTGGTGAAAATCATTTGACAGATGTGCCATTTTTACTATGAATGAGCATCTATGAAATATTTGTTATGAATTAATTTCAAATTAGTCCCTCCCAATGGTTTATACCAGTATGGATTTATTTGTTGCAGTTCTATTCAAATATCAATATCAGGAGCAAATAGCCAGGAGGGCTTGTTAGGTTCAAAGCACTAGTCATTGTTAACTAATGTTCAGTGCTAAATTGGCACTAGATAATGGTCAACAGAATTTATGAGGGACTGGACTTGGTTCTCTTGTTGTAACATAAGGACTACAAACTGATGGTGTGTTTTAATCTGCCTTCCAGCTGTGCCTTCTCTTCTCCTACAATCACATTTTATGACCCAGATAAGGTATAATGATCTGTCTAAATTTAATAAGCTATTATACATTTTAGTTATCATATAGTTTTTTTTGAGTCTCTCAAATCAAGTATTAATTTTCATATTCTATTAACATCTTGTGAATTTTAATATCTTAGTGAAAAATAATAATGATTGCTGCCAAGTGATCCATGGTAGTGGAATAGTTGTTATCATGTTCTATTTTTTTTACTTTAAATTGGAATTTTATTCACATAAACCTATTTTATCTGTAATAACTCATTTATTACAAGTCTTCAATATAGTAGCAGAAATGAGGGGGTTATGTTTGGAGAATTTAAACTTATTATCTCTAAGATTGTTTGCATTAAAAGCAGAACTCACAGTGTGAGACTCTAAAGATTTTGAGTTAAGTCCCATAATGTTATTAAACCTTCCTACCAAAGTATCTTGGGGAATTATCTAAATATCTAAATATTATTTTATTTTTCAATGATAGTTTTGATATTAGGAAGCTTTTAACCATCAGCTGATTATTAGAATGTTAGCATCAACAAGGAAAAATAATTAAAGGAAAAAATAATTAAAGAAAAAATAAATTACCAAACTCAATAGGTTCACTCCATTCTCCATTCATTTTTTTTGAAATTGGACATGTAATGTCTCCAAATGCGCGAATTCTCAAGATATATTTTGAAGGCTTTGGGAAATCGTATGTTTTTTCTGTTACCTAAAAGCAAAATATTTATCTACTGGTACTTAAATTTTTGCTTGATGAAATAACAATGATCAGTATAAAAATACAATTGATCTTGAATCAATCACATTATATCACTAAATGTCTATGGAGATTCTCAGACATCCAGGTCATGGTTATCCCAAAGGTGCTTTTGAAGAGGCAACTGGACTTTTTGTTTTTTCTTTAAAGACATATCGCTTCTCATCCAAGAATTTCTTCAGCTCTTTATTTCTTTTCAGTTATTTTTAATTTACTCTACAGATTTGCTCTATAGGAATTTGATGCTAATCTCAATGGTATTCTACCTTTGTGAGAAGTGAAATGTCTTCAAAGAAAAACCACAAAGTCCAGTTGCCTCTTAAAAAAAACACCTTTGGGACAATCACATTATAGTTATTGTTTATTAATGAAAAGAAATATTGTAAAAACTATTTTTTTAAATTTCAAACCTTGCTTCCATTTCCTTGTGACTATGAAATCTTTTTTAAAATTGAATTATGCAAAGAAAACAAACTGTTCTTTACTTCGGCTATTGAATTTTAGAATATGAGGTTAAAAACCTGATATTACAGTAAAAAAAAATAACTGCCCTATTTTTGCACTTTATGCAAGAAAAGTTGAGGGAATAGCATTATTACTTTGACTTATCAGAGTCATTTTGAACTCTGATAAATCCTATGATCTAAGATTAGTGCATTCTGGAGTATTTGTTAAAAATTATCACAATTCCCACTGGGACCAAATGCAAGGTTTTCTGTTTTGCTTCCAATTGGTTGGACAAAAAGTAAACTCAGTATTCATCTCTTAAAAAACCAATAAACCAATAATTAAAGTGTAGATTTAGAATATCTTCTATCTTCCAGGTTTAAGCTGCAAATTTTCCTAATTTAACAGCACACATTCATTTGTTCCAAGAAATGCCATACAAACGAGGAATGACATTTCACTGCTGGGCCTGTGGAGAACAATTTTTATTTTTATTTTAAACTGATGGTAGAAGACTCTGGATTATTTCCAAAATTTAGAAATCTGACACCTAAGGGGCTTTATGGTTACTTTTTATACTGTATATCAGGGGTGTCAAACTCAAGGCCCGGGGGGCAGATCCAACCCCTAGGGTACTTAGATCTGGCCTACAGGGCCACCCTGAAAACAGTGAAGGACAGGCTCATAGTGCTTTGGCCAGTGAAAATGGGCTCCTGAGCACCATTTTTGGCTGCCACGACCTCCTGCAATCCTCTGCCAGTGAAAACGGAGCTCTTGCAAGCTCCATTTTCACTGGCAGAGGGTTGTAGGAGGCCGTGGCAGTCAAAAATGGAGTTCGGGAGCCTGTTTTTGCTGGCAGAGCACTCAAGCCACCACAGTCAACCCCGACTGGAGTAATGTCGAGCTAGCCATAGCCACTCTGGTCCCTCCACCCCTGCCCCCCGAGGTCAAACACAATTCTGATGTGGCCCTCAATGAAATTGAGTTTGTCACCATTGCTGTATATGATTTTCTTGGATTACACTTCGTTCCTTCTATATGAAGAGCATAATATCTGATTTTGTGCATGAAGAAAATAACTGAACTATAGATCATCCTGACCACCTAATTTTAAGATCTGTATGTCCACTTCTCCCTTCCTTAGCAGCAGTTTCCAATAAAAATTTCTTGTGTGATACTAGTGCTATTTGCCTATTTTTATTTCCAAAAAAAATTCTGTTGAAAAATGAAATTCTGCCCAACTCTCAATTTTGTTCCTGTATCTCTTCATATTTAGAATTCTAGGAAAATTTTCAACAGTATTTTCCATTTTGGACCAAATCTGAATAGTAATAGCAAATCTAGACAGAATGAGGTGATGAAACAAATGGCAATTTATTAGATGACAACACTTACATTGATGATTGTATTCTTGCGTTCATCCTTGAAAATAAAGGGGGAAAATAAAGTAGTTACTAGTATTGATAATTTTGTCCTTTTCTAAACTGGAATACATTTCCCACAGTCAGTTGTTTATAACAATTATAATAATAGTTGAACAGTGTAGTGAGAATAATGTGTTGGGAAGGAAGACTATTTATTTATTTTCCCTTTACACACTTTTATTTATGTTATGTTAGAGTCAACATTTCTTTGGAGACATTCCTACATTTAATTTCTGAATGAATTAGATCATCTCTTCTTGCAGCCCTTCTGGTGTTATGCTGTTGAATGAATTATGTCCTCATTTCTTACAAATATTGTACAGGTAATCTTTGACTTACAATAGTTCCCTTAGTGATCGATCAAAGTTGCAACACCACTGAAAAAAGTGACATGACTATTTTTAACATGACCATTGCGATATCCCCATAGTCACATGATCAAAATGCAAGCACTTGGCAACCGACTCATATTTATGGTGGTTTTAGTGTTTCCAGAGTCATGTAAATCACCTTTTGCAACCTTCTGACAAGCAAGGTTAATGGGGAAACCAATTTCACTTAACAATTGTGTTATCAACTTAAACAACTGCATGATTTACTTAACTGTGGCCAGAAAGGTTGTAAAATGAGGCAAAATTCACTTAACAACTATCTCACAGCAACAGAAATTTTGGGCTTAATTGTCATAAGTTGAGGACTATATGTATTAGAGAAGCACTAGCCAGCTCCTCCATGCTCTTTGCCCTAACGATTTCATGCCACTAGTCTTCTTCTTTGCTAACTATAAAACTGACCTTCATTTTTTCCTCCTAAATATTAGAACTCATAATAATTGCTTATCATATTAAATTATGCAAACTGGCCCATAATCCTATTCTGATGAGCATTTTTGTCTTCCTACGTCATCACTTGCATCGAGTTAACCTATACATATAGGCAACCATATTTGATTTATACCATAGCCCCATCTTTCTCTGTTAGCAAATACTCAAAGAAGGTAATACAATATGAAAATGAAAGCTAAATAGATGGATTACAATATTGAAATTAGAGCTGAAATCAATCAGGCCAGATGAAAGAGATACACACTGACAGTTTCTATGCATCCATAGAAAACTCTTCAACAAACAAAACATTTCCATCAGAATCATACATTGATAAGTATTGCTTCCAGTTGCTGTGCATAGCCTAGTTGGCAATCAATGCACTTCTAGTGCAAGCTTCTTTGTACTAATTAGTACAAGAGAGTGATTAATATTCCTAACTTACCTTGGCAATAGCTTTAGTCTATTTTATAGCTCAGAGTGCCTGGTGGGTAGAAAAGCCCACCTATTGCCTAGGGCAGTGGTTCTCAACCTTTTCCTCACCAGGGACCCCCTTTAAATACCTTTTGTGGCCAAGGACCATGGCCATGGACCCCCAAGACTTAACTCAAGATTTAAATCATAATATTTCTTCAAGCCTTCCTGGATTCCCTGTGATGACATAGTAGACCCCCAGATATCTGTGGACCACAGATTGAGAACCACTGATCTAGGGTATTTGGGACAATAAGAGTTCCCACATCCAAGTATTTCTGGGATCTTATTCCTGTACAGGTATGTATGAAACTATGAAATAGCATGTCTATATTCTTTAAATATAGGGACGCGGTGGCTCAGTGGCTAAAACGCTGAGCTTGTTGATCAGAAAGTTGGCAGTTCAGCAGTTTGAATCCCTAGCGCTGCATAACGGAGTGAGCTCCCATTACTTGTCCCAGATTCTGCCAACCTATCAATTCGAAACATGTAAAAATGCAAGTAGAAAAATAGGGATCCTTTTGGTGGGAAGGTAGCAGCGGTCTGTGCGCTTTCGGTATTTAGTCATGCTGGACACATGGCCACGGAGATGTCTTCGGACAGCACTGGCTCTTCAGCTTTAAAAAGAGGTGAGCACTGCCCCCTAGAGTCAGGAACGACTAGCACATATTTGCGAGGGGAACCTTTAGCTTTATTCTTTAAATCAATGACAATCTGGCAATCTTTTCAAAATTTGAAATATTTATTTTCCTATAGATGTCATTTTCAAGTCTAAAAATTGACATTAGGCTGGCAAGCAAATTTTTGACTTGTTGGTTCTTACCTTTATTTGGAACACAAAGCATACACTTCCATGTTTACGAGAGTTTGGAGGAGGTTCCCACTGGACTCTATAATATAAGGGTAAGCTATAATCCACAGTAATATTTTGGGGAGGTCGAAACTGTTCTGGAAGAAAATAACCAACGTTATAAGTAACAGTTGAACACCGAGGAAATCATATACATACAGACAAATATAAGCATTGAAATACTTTAAGAAGAGAAGAGATAAACAAATTGAGCACAATTTCTTTAGCTCAAATTTGGTAGATATATTTGGTTTTCTTTTTTCTTTTTTAGTTCTTTCAGCCTCTAGACCATGGGTGTCATACTTGCGGCATCACGTTACCATCATGTGACATATCGCAATGTTTTTTTCCTTTCACGGAGCTGGGGTGGGCCCAATGGCCACCAGTTTGACACCCCTCCTCTAGATCAATGAAAATTAATATTTAAAAATGAAAGCCTTGTTCTTCTCACTTATTGCAAGTGAGAAGATGAATTACCACATATGCTTTCTTCATAAAAAGATGCAAGACTATTTTTTAATGAAATGTTAGACCTGTACAAAAGGAAAGTCCCTTATAACACAGCTACCGGTACCAATAATTTGGGGCATATCATACTTGACCATCTTCATATTTCAAGATATCTGATATAATATGCTTCTATTATTATTAGTTGCAAACAGATTCTCCCTTTTTTCTCACCTTTGTCATGAAGTCGAAAAGTATCAACATATGACTGAATTGGAGATACTCTGCTTGATCCATTTACTGTAATATACACGGAATATTGATTTGCTATCACTTCAGGGAAGTAGCAACCAATGTGTCTTTCGGATGAGTTACTTATGTAATGTGGACACTCGTTATCTGTAGCCCTGTTTATACCAAAATAATTTTATTTAAAAGCTAATCAAACACAATATATTTTCAAAAAAGATATTTTTTAGTTTATTAAATGAAAATGCATTACTTGTTATATGCTAAGTACATAAAATACTGGGTGTCTGGAGGAGTATTTTTGCCCGCATTCCAAGTACAATTCATGGTAGGATTCTTAAATGTATATGAGCGAAGAATACAGTCAAAGTTTTCAACAGATGTTCCATTCATACCTAGAAATAGGCAAAATTGAGAAGTTAAATATTCACGGCAATGTGTTATCTTATATAAAGATCAATATAAGCTTCAATCGTTTCAATGAACTCCATTAAAAAAACTGTCACTTTTTGTCTCTCTTGAATGATTGAAGCTGAAATTCCAAAACTATGCAAGATTATGATTTCTTACAAATATTTTATGCTATCTGATCATGTGACTCGGGGTAATAGGATATTTGAATTTTGATTTGTTTTTTAAGAAAGAATGGGGATAATTAATACAGGAAAATCAATTTAATTTTCTGGCTCTTGTTGGATATAAAACACATTCTTTTCCTAGGCATTGGCATTGAGTCTTTATTGATTAGCCCTTAGGCCATATCAAATTGCAATGTTCCAGAAACAATTTATTACTAAAATTTGATAAAAGCAATTTAAAATGGAATTTGATAATATACAATTTAAAATGAAATTGGAATAAATTCCTAGGCAACTTTTGTCAAGACTTTATCCATCTTCTGTGCAATGACTAAGTCATAGCAGAAATTACATGATGTCAATAAGCCAAGAAATGAGTTATCTATATTTAAACAGTAAACAACAGTGTATGGAGCCTAGTTTATATGAAGAAATCCTGGAATTAAGGATATTGCAAAAGATAGCAAATGCATGCAAATATAGTTCTCAAAAGAGGGGATGCAATTTAGGTGGGCACTCCCTTGAGCACTTAAGATCTTTAAATGTCTAGGTATAGTTTCAGGAAGTAGATATACCCATCTGGATTAGGTATCCTGCAATGCACAGAGATTTGCAACAACTATTCAAACTTTTTTCCCCTAGAGGAGCTCTGTTTATCTGCAACTAAGTTTTGCTGTTAAAGCCCAAACACAACTGTTATACAGAGCCCAATTAAGGCTATATAACAGAATTATAAACTTAGAAAAAATTCAAACCAAATGTTTAGGAAGAATCTTAAACCACAGTGGTTTCACAGGAAGCAAGAGTTGGTAAAGTTGAATCCAATCTCTGAATAAATATCTTTGCCCACTGGCTAAAAGCTTTACCTACTGACTGCCCCAGGAATTGTTGATACAGTTCTACAGAGGAATTATTGAGTCTGCCATTTGTACTTTGATAACTGTCTGGTTTAGTACAGCAACCAAAGACGACAGCTACAGACTTCAACAGATAATTAGGACTGCAAAAAAAAAAAAAAAAAAAAAAAAATTGCAAAAAGCCTGCCTTTCAATGAGAACTTGTATACTGCACAGGTCAGAAAGTGGGTTAAGAAAATATCTATAGACTCTCACATCCTGGACATAAATTGTTTCAACTTCTCCCCTCAGGAGAATTGTATGTCATAACAACTGAATAAAAAAACAGTTTCTTCCTCTCGTGCCATCACTCTGCTGAACACCTAATGATCACAGCAGAGGTGGGTTACTACCGGTTCGGCCTGGTAGGTAGTAACCTGGCTGGACACGTCCCCGAACTGGTTCTATCAGTGCTGCCATCTTGCTTTTTGCTTCTGTGCATGCGCATGTGCATTACTCAGGTAGTATGTCTGTATTACTACCATATTATCCTTCTCAACTTTTCTACTACCTTATCCTATAGGTATTTTATGATTATATTACTTTGTATGTACATTGAGAGTTTATGCACTAGAGACAAATTCTTCGTGTGTCCAATCACACTTGGCCAATAAAATATTCGTGGCAGACAACTTCAAACCTCCTTGGGGAATAGCTATGTAAAAGAAACAGGGACAATAAAACATTTTCAGGGATGCCATCTTAACATTACGCCGAATCAAGCGAGATTAATATTAAGGCAAAAGATTTTGGATATGGAAGGCCAAACAGAAATCACTGCTTTTTCTCACAATATAATAACCAAATTCTAGTGCCTAAACCAGTTTCACATTTACATCATATCACAATCCCCAAATTCAGTAGAGCCTCATCTGTGGTGTGATTTAATATTCTTCCCATAGCTGTTTTGGAAGGGAAATATAGGAAAACGTTATATGAAACTTGACACTAGGTCTCTACCGTGAGCGCCATAGAAACTACAGCTCGTGTTTTTCTATGTTGACATTTCTGCACAGATGTTTGCCAACGGTTAACTACCCTTTTTAAAATTTCTATGGTATTCAGGTAATTTTTGTTGCATTTGTCAGGCAATCAGGACAACTCGATTCCTCTAAAAATAGCAAAAGTTTGCTACATTATGTGTAAGCTTCACTCAAAATGCTTTTGATGTTAGGGGTTAACTTTGGGGGTTTTGGGGGTCAATGACTAAAATAAGGTTTCTGTCTGTTCTACACACAGACACACACACACAGACACACACATATATATTTATGTGTGTGTGTATGTATGTATGTGTATATATACATATCTGTCTGTTCAACTAATATATATATATATGTATGTATATATATATATGTATGTATATATATATATATATATATATATATATATATATATATATATATAATCAGTAGAACAGACAGAAACCTTATTTTAGTCGTGTGTGTGTGTGTGTGTGTATATATATATATATACATACATACATACACATACATACATACATGCATACATACATAGATATATACACACACACATATATATACAGTATATACACATATACATACATATATACATATACATACATTCACACATGTATATACGTGTGTGTGCATGTGTGTGTGTGTATGTTTGTGTATAAATGAAAATCTACAGCATTTTCACCCAGCCACATGTAGGTGGATCCTACATGTGAAATGTTAAATTTATTTGATCAAATTTTCCTCTATTTTTGTACACTATTTTTACTTTTTTGTCGTTGCTAGTATTGAATGTTGGCTTTTGTTTTGTTCATTTTTTTATATTTTACTTTTCATGATAAAACAATAAGTAATATTTTTTGAAAAGAAAAATGGTTAGCAATTCCATCCCCTCTTTTTTAGAATAAAATTGCAAAGTAAAATAACTTGAAAAATCCTCTTGAAATAACATATTTACCTTTCTCCTTTGGCAAAGTGATATGTAATGTGGAGCAGAACACAATGAGCCAGCTCATGTTACTAAATCCCAGAATGGTTACCATTTTATTTTCTGTATGTGCAGGAAAGAATTCCAGAATGGAAGAAATTAGCTGTTTATTTGTAAAAAGTTTCAAAATCTGTACATTGTTTAATTACTTTGTTAAATATTGCATAAAACATGCAATATTTTAATCAGTCCAAATGGAGTTCTCTATGTTGGACAACAGGTCATAACACTTTTCAAGGCATTAGATAATAGTTTTAATTATACCAGTGGCTCAAAAAATTATATGACCCCACTGTTTTATAATGTGACAAAATGTGATATAACTACTTCCAAATGATCCCCCCCCCCACCAAAAAAGAACAAAATAAAGCTTTGATAATAGCTGACTTGAAGAAATACTACTTTTGATTTCTGGACTTTAAATCTTACATGTCTTTTTAAAAAAATGGGGAGAAAGAAGGAATTGGAAAAGGCTAGCAAGAAATTGAATTCAGAAATAGAAGCTGACCTGCAATATTTTTGTGTTTACTTATAAAGCTTCCAGTTTGGTTAAAAGTCTATTGTCCTATTTAATTTTTCTTTTTTACTTTCAGTTGTTTTTTTATACTTTCTGGATCATCTAGTTTTAAAATATGCTTTCTCCATATCAGTTAAATGAGATTTATTAGCAGCTAAATAAAGGGGATCCTTCAGAAAGTTGTCATTTAGTTACCTTCTATATTTCTAAAAGTACAATTCCCAGATCTGTGCAGGATAGTCAGATAAATGATTTGCTGTCTGAGACTGAAACCCCAAGTTACAGAAATTCTGTTTGGAACTTTTTTTATATCCCTACCACCTATTTCCATAAGAAAAAAAAGAGGGTATCCTTAGCTGCATAATTCTTCAAATAGGTACGGTGTCTTACAAATAGGTAAGATAGGTATGTGTCCAGTATACATTTGAATCAGTCTTAAGGGCTGAATAAGTCTCTACATTCACTATGAGCTATTCACGTATATGAGTATAGGATTGCAAAATTAAACCAAAGTTTGTTCAAAGAGTTTTGTGATTGTTAGTTGCGAAGTCATGTCCAATCCATCGCGACCTCATGGACAACATTCCTCCAGACATTCCTGTCCTCTACCATCCTCTGGAGTCCATTTAAGGTCACACCTACAACTTCGGTGACTCCATCCAGCAACCTCATTCTCCGCTGTCCCTTTTTCCTTCTGTCCTCAGTCTTTCCCAGTATTAGGCTCTCCACAAAGAGTTTACTTCCAAGCAAAAATACATGGGATTTTACATGAACAGTGACAGCAAAGGATATCTTAATAAAATACATACTTTAAACCCCCTTAAAGTACCAAAAATATTTTGCAACATATATACAATATAAACATATTCTTAAATAACTCAACTGCAGAAAATTCAGGAACTATTTAGTGTTATTCCATTTCGTAATTCTGATGAATCTAGCAACAGATAATTATAATATGTCTAATAAGAAACGGAAAAATGTTTTAGTTACCATCTAATATTTGAAAATAAGTATACCAAGGCAACAGTCAAATGATACACATAATTTACTGTTATGGTTTCTTTTGAATAAAGTGTATGCATAATAAAGTATAGATCCAGTCACATACAGTATATGCAGTCATAGAGAGGGTAACATTTATAATATGATAGCCTTTGAAGTAAAGAGGAAAGATAGGGGAGTCTGTCTATTTAAGGGAGAATAGTGTTTCAACTGATGGAGAAAAGAATATCAGGGCCATTAATACTCACAGAAAGATAGAAGTATGTGTACATTATAATGAGAGAGATTTGGGAGGTGTAGAAATCCCAGATAACTTTAGGGAATGAGAATTATAACTGGTGGAGGTATGATAGCTCTCAATTACCATGCTAAAGAAAGGGCAAGAAAGTGTAGTAGGTAAAGATTTAGCCAGGGATGGGTTGCTGCCAGGATTACTGCCGGTTCGGTGCCTGTGCAATTTTGCTCCTTGTGCGTGTGCAGTTGCCCATAAATAGAACATTAAAAAATGAAAAAAAGAACATGCCGTCCCAACTAGGAAACCGTTCAGAGGCATGGCAGGCCTGGGTTGCTGCCGGTTCTGGCGACCCTGGCCAGCAAACTACTACCAGTTCAGCAAATGGGTCCAAACCGGTAAAAAGCCTCCTCTGCTTTAGACCATGAAGACAGTCTAACCATTACGCTTACAGTTCAGCAATAGGTTTTAGTGTAAACTTACCTGAAATATCTACTTATCTGTTGTCATCTAATTATCTTCTGAATTCGAGAGTTTTACTTATCTTATTATCTTATCAGGCCTCAAGGAAAATGTTGTTTGAGCGAAATTGTAAGAACACAGTTGTAGAGAATACAGATTCTTGTTCTCAGAATCAATCTTACATCAGTAAGTTCCTGTTTAGAAAAAAGGGAAGTTGATTAAAGTTAGGGTTGAATTATTTTGTTTCTTTTTTGTCGGCTATGGAGATGTACATATAAACGACCCAAGACTGAGGAAGACACACACCACCCATTGGGTGGTATATGTATATTGTATGTATGTGTATGAACAGTATATATATATATTTTCTTAGGTGTATACATAAACTGATCTATTTTAATTTCTAATTTTGATCACAATTATATGCATACATTAATTATATGCATACATTATGGATATATGGATATAAATGACCCAAGACTGAGGAAGATACATATGTATATGTATAGTATATGAATATGTATGTACAGTATAAATGTTTTTTCTTAGGTGCATGCAACTATTAAAAATGTCATGACAATGGTCTAAAATTTGCCTGGATCCTTTCATAGGCCATTGTAATTATTCATAGTACATCAAAAAACAGTTTATTGATGTCTTCCAGGCCTGCACTGGAACAATGGACTTCTTAACTATCAAATGGTAACCCTCTTCTTCTGGAGTAGGAGGACCATACTGAAAGCTGATGTAACTTGTCATTCTCTTATATTTAGTTCATAAGCAAGAGAAGAATGCTCGAATGACAAAATGTGGAGGTCACAAAAGTTTCAGTCTTTTTAGTGACCCATTCAATTAAACCAACAAATGGCTACAACCCACATTAAACTAACAATTACAACATTGTTTGCTCTTTAAAATTCTCTATCAGGGAAGATCTCACTGCACAAAAAGAAAACAAAAGATACAGAATGTGACAGTAAAAAAGATTTCAGGGAATTGTGATATCTATAATTGCTTCATCAAGAATACACATTTCCTCTTTTCAGAGTTCCTATTTTCATAGCACTTCAACTAAGAAAGAAAAAGAACTTGTGCTCTGCAAAGGTCTATTGTTAACATATAATTATGATCAAAATTTGAAATGAAAATAACTTCAATTCAACTTTCTTTAGCCTAAAAAAGAAAAAAAAGAATAAAAGGAGAAGCATAATAACTACTGCATCTCTATTTCTTCTTGAAACTATTAAAGATTTGTATAGCTTAACCAGATAGTTACATAGATATCCGGCATAAGTATTCCTTATTAAATCATGTCTACATGAATACTAATTTTGATTTCAGGGGAATGGCAAATAAGTATTGTTTCACTTATTGATATGTATCTAATTATTATAAAGAACCTTATGACTGGCTTGAACAATTTGTAAAATTCACAAATTCATCTGCAGCAGATTGTGGATTCTTAGCACAAAGAGACAAGACTTTACCAATTCAAGCATTACAATAATACAGGTATTTAGACCTAAAAATCCAACTACAGTTTCCCTAGTTGGAAAGAATGCTGAACATAAAAGGGAATCACCAATGTTTTGAGAAGGGGGGCCACTCTTGAACTTTGGGTGGGTAAACCCAGAGCAAAGAGGTTAATATGATATATGAAATTAGACTAATTCAATACCCAACAAGATTATTCCTCATCTATTTCATAAAGTCATAAAATTAAAAGGTTGGGGGAGATCATGGGGCACAACCCTCAGCCCTGCCAGGAATCTACCACTACAGTCTTTCTGACAAATGGCTCTTCAGTCTCTCTGTTTTTTAAAATATAATTTTTATTGAAGAAATTTTAATTAAATAAAACAATACAAATATCAGCCAAAAAAAATTAAGGAAAACAAGGAGGAATATAGAATAAAAAACATAGAAAAAGAAAAGGCTTCAATCTTTTTGACTATGGTTGTAGTGCATTTATACTTTACTGTCTCTAAAGCTGTGTCATAATTCCAGATGCTCTTTAAACTTACTGAGAGAAGGACTTTACTACTCTACAGCAATCTGTTTCTCTTATTGTTAGGATTTTTTTCCTCCTAGTGTCAATTGATCTCTACTTTCTTGTAGTTTAAAACAATTTTTCATGTTCTTTCTGGAAAAACTTTGAAAGATGCTGCCCCATCTGGTACAAGATACTGCTGCAGATACTTGAAGAAAGGGATCATGTGTCTCCATAGTCTGTTTTCTCTAAGTAAAGCATACCATGCCTGTAATCATTCCACATAGGCTTTTCACTCAGGCCCCTCAAAATTGATTACTTTTCTTGGGACACACTTCTGTTTATTCACGTTCTTTTCAAATACAATGCCTGAAACTGGATCCAAATAACCTATTTTTGCTACTTGCTTAAAATACAAAAGAGGTCCTGAAACATCTCCTAAAATAGACAACCATTTAGTATTAGCATCTGGGAAAAACAAGCAGATAAAAAACCTAGTTGCAGAGAAGGTATGTGACAAGAAGTCAAGAAGTTTATTTATGCTCTTACGTTTGCTGAGTCAAAGTGATTTCATAATTCTGTAAAATTGTATTCTCTGAATTCACTGAAATCATGAAAGAAGCACTGTTTAGACCAGGGTATTAAACTCGCAGTCCGCAGCCCAGATGCATCACGCACACACACAAACACACACAAACACATTTTAGCAAAGGGGGGGGGGAAGTCACAATACGTCACATGATAATGTGACAACATGAGTTTGACACTGCTGGCTTAGACATTACATAGAGTTAAATTCACCAGGTAAGCAATCTTTAACAGATGCATTGTTCTTAAAACTTATCCATGCTTTTTAATATCTTAGCAAGTATTGGCATCACCTGCCCACTCCTTTGTGTTTGAGAGATTTGTTTGTTTGTTTGTTTAATTTGTGGGCTGTTCATCTCTTCTAGAGTTTTTATCCAGGTTCTTATCATAAAATATGAGACTGACACTTCACCTCCCCCACCACACCAAACAATTCACTTATTTGGGGGGAATCTTTTTCTATTGGGTTAAAACAGTAGTTAACACAAGTTTTCAGTGATGTTCATGATGAACTAGCAAGACCAGTGGGCCTCTTAACTCTCTAACAAATTCTACAATCACTCAAGCAACTTGATTTACTAGTTGAACTATCCCAACTCAGCCACGTAAATAAATACTGAGTCATTTCTCAAACTCTTTCTGTAAAGGACTGTGGGACAAATCTTGAGGAACAGGAAGAGCTATAACCAAGATAATGATTAGATAACATAAATCTGAATCCAAAGCAGTAATCAGGGGTGGGATTCAGCTGGTTCGGACCGGTTCAAGCGAACTGGTAGCTCCAATGATCAGCTGAGAGTGAACTGGTTTACTCCAATGATCAGATCCCCCCCGTGCTATATTTACCTATATTTCCTTTGTTTGAAGCCCAGCTGATAGGCGCAACAGAGCAATTCCCATGCCTCAGCTGTTTTACTCACCAGGGCTGCAGTAGAAGGTAAGTTTTTCAGCTGTTTTAAAACGCACTGCGCATGTGTGGAAAACACATTTGGAATGTGCGCAAGTGAAGCAAAGTGCATGCTCAGTGAACCGGTTGTTACACCGGTTGAATCCCACCACTGGCAGTAATGCAAATTTAAAAATATCTTGGGCTTGGCACTTACTCCTCTTGCCTATTAAAAGACAGTGAGACACATTCAGATTTGTAAGATTGATGTCAGCCCTTCAAGGTAATCCAGGCCTGGAATCTAAAGTTATGAGTGCTAGTACTACTTTTATTATAAGATTATAGTAATAAAATCTTTTTTCCCCTTTCTAAGAGGAGGAAGAGTTGAGGGAAAGAGCAAGGGATTCAGGCAGCACAAAAGATCTGGTTAGATTGTTCTATCTGCATAATCCATTTTAAATTCCATCTTACTGTATATTGCCATGATTTCAATAAATGTAACCAATCCATCTCTCAGGCCACCTCCTACCCAAATTCTCTAAAGACTTTTATATTTTCTTCCTCTAAAAATCTAGGGTGAATGACATGGTTTTCTTAATGCAACAATATAGTTTTAAAGAGATCTGTCTCTTGCTACAGTGTATTGCAGAATCAGAGCAGGGAATTTATCACAGCATCTTCATTTATTTCTTTATATTTTTTATAGAATTTAAATTGCAATGCCAGGCAGCTGATATTACAAAATTCATCTTAAATAATCTATGGAAGGTCTTACGTGGGAAGGCAACTTCTTGGGCTGCATTAACTATGAAGGGTACAGCGTTCAAACAATTTTGTTTTTCATGCCAAACCTGAATTTCCATTAAATCATTTTTTTTTAACATTTCCGATTGCATTTCTACAGTTTTTAGTTTTGTTTCCCCTTTACATATGATTTACTGCTGAAGTCTCTCTTTCTATAAGAAACAAACTTGTAGAGAAGTGTATTTCTTTATCTTCTTGATTATAAATGGCTCATTATATCATTACATTAAATGATTGCCATTTTGTTTTCCACAAATGTGCTTTTGGGTTCTTCAATTTGGTAAAGAACAGGGAAGCAGAGTGAGAGCTCAAGCTCAAGCTATCTCTTATTTGATCTAAAGCAGTGGTGTCCAACCTTGGCAACTTTAAAATTTAAGGACTTCAAATCCCATGCTGGCTGGGGAATTTTGGAACTTGGAGTTCACAAGTCTTAAAGTTCCCAAGGTTGGGCACCCCTGATTTTAAGTCTTCACTTCCTCTCACTGTGTTCCTTTTCATGAAAGAGTTGGAAGATATCTAGTCCAACCTCCTCCTTGATTAAGGTGACTAGATTTTCAGATTGGTAAAGAGGGACACCATTGACCGGGGGGGGGGGGGGGGGGGGGG